GAATTGGGATATAAGGCTATGGAGTTTGCGACGTTATTTTAAGTTTCGGAAGATGTGGAACAGAAATTGGTCTTGTAGTCTTGTAGCGCTTAAACAATTGTCAAATTCTATTTTAAAAACAAATAAAAAAACAAATTTTACACGATATCTTGTTATCTCAAATTAGATATTGAAGTAATCATAAATTAGAAGAAAGCTTAGTTTAAAAAAAAAAAATGTAGTTTTCAAATTTTAATCTCATTTCAAATTATTTTTCCAAATTTCCTCTTGTTTTACTCTCTCTTTTTCACCCCTATCGCGATTTTAAAATATATTTTGAGAAAAATTTGATTCATCCATAACTTTCTCAAATCTTCACCGAATTGAATGATTTTTGGGTCTATATCTCACGGATTTTCACCCTCTATCTGATTCTACCAACGTTGTGTTCGATCTACAAAGGTATGTGACCCTAAACTCACTTTTTCAGTTCGACGTTTTTCAAGAAAATGGTGATTTTCGAGTTTGATTGGTTCGAATTAGATGATTCGGATACTTCATATGCACTCTTAGAGTGATTTTCGACTAAACCCATGCATTGAATTCGTTGATTTAGGTGGTTGAATTTTTAACGTGAGAATTATGTCGAATTTTGCGGTTTTAGTGAGGAAAAACAGAATTTGGTTGAATTGGTGTTGCAATTGAGGAGAATTGTGCTCTATAATTGACAAAATTGCTAGAAATTATGCCTATTGATGGAGTTTTGAAAATTAAACAAATTCTTATGTTGTCGAAAATTTCGATAATTAGGACTTTTGTTTTATTTTGTAGGCAATGGCTAAAAGAGGTACACCCAAGAGACCTCTATCACGAGCTCCGTCTCAAAGTGACGAGTCAGAGGCTGCTCAACCCGCAAGGCTTGTAAGAGATTAGGGTGACGAGCCTGGAGATAGACGCCCACCTAGGCATCGGAGAGCACCAGGAGAGAGCCGGAGCGCCAGTTCCGAGGACCATTGACTGCAGTATCTCTCTCTCCTTTATCTTTTAACATTTGTTTTTAATGTATTGTAGCGTATGTCGTA